CAGTTTGCGTTCATTCAAATACAGTAGCCTGCACCAATACCTTATAGGGCTTGTGGTGTGCACAAGTTGGAGAGGGGTTCTGCCACATTCTCCCCAAACCATAACATTGTTTGCTGTTTTGAGAAACCGTTTACACATTTTATGCTATACATCTTCACTAATTTTACAGTATGAGGTCCCCTATACTTCTGCACCATTACACACTATAGGAACAATCATGGCATTAAATATCATAATTAATCTTGACATGGTTTATTTTCAACTTTCTTTTGACATCTGTACAATGCCATAACAGCCTTTTTACTCTGTGCACCAAGAGTAGTTAGTGCTTTAGTCCAAATAAGTTTAGGTGTTAACACAATACCCAATATCTATATAAAGATACAATTTCAAGATACACACCATAAACTTTTGATTTAAAAAATATATAATCACAATAGTGAACTGGTCAACAAGTACAGAGCAAATTACCCAAAATTCAAAAGCAAAATCACTGATGGTGTGTTGAATTATGTATGCATGCACTGCTGTAAAGTATAATAAAATAAAGAAAAGAGTCCATAGCAGCATTTAACCAAACTAGTTAACTGATATCTGACTGAAAAATTGCTTACATCACGTGATTTGTATCAGATCTATTCTAATAACACCAGGGTTATCATGCTCAAAATAATCAATGTACAGCAAATGTATACTCTGATACTGGCTTAAAGTCATAAAAACTACAGTTCTCATGACAGGTATCATTGGTAAAAATCACCCTATTCAACAGTTCACAAATAGTGGAATGTTCATCTGTCTAAAAAGTTCTTCTTCACATATACTGAGTCAAAAAAGAAACTTCACATTCTTTCTTCAGGGCACTATAAAAGAACAAGAGATGGTAAGATGGTTAAATTGTTATTATTTCATTGCTGAGATCTTTGGATGTACTCGATACACTGACAGTGCCATAATCAGTTCCATTAGGCTACACCGCCGTTCCAAAACATGGGTATACAGAATGTCAAGTCACAAGAATAAAAATGCGAAATTTCTCAGTTCAATATCGTGTATGGCTGCCCCGCGCATTCACCACTGCCAAACACCGTCTCCTCATCGACTGCCTGATGCTAATGAACACGTGGTTGGGGATTCTGCACCATTGCTCTTACAAGGCAGCGCCAAGTTTCTGCAAATTCTGAGGTTGGTTCCTAAGACCCGAATCTGTCGACTTCCTGTACACAACATTGGGCATAAAGCCGTTCACTGTCGACGCCGTCTCCAGACTCTATGCCTGCCGTCCGCGAATCTGAGGGTAAACCTGGATTCATCGCTAAAGACGACTCGATTCCAGTCTCTCTGGGTCCATCGGAGGTGACGTTGGGCCCACAGCAGACGTTGACGTTGATGAAACGGCGTCAATATTGGCCCACGATATGGACGTCGAGAATGGAGATTGGCAGCCAGCAACCGATTTCGAATGGTCTGAGGACAGTCGACCTCTAAACGTCTCAGCCCTGGTTCGTGTAGCCGGCGTAGGTGACGTAGGACGATTTGACGGTTTTCTGCTCGTGACGTCACACGTGGACGACCCGACCTTGGGCGATCAGAAGTGGTGCCAGTTTCTTGTAGACGACCTCGCAAGTCATACACAGTACGACGGCTGCATCCAATTGCTCTTGCGATGTCAATAACTGATCTTCCCGCTTGCAACATGCCAACGGCACGTTCACGTTGCACATTTGACAATCGTGGCATTTCAAGTACCTTTAGAACTGTGGTTTAAAAGTGTTTTTTCAATTCTTGAGGCCAATGCAAACACGTGCATATGAAGAAAACTTCGATGCGAAGATCACGTGATCGACTGCACGTGCAAAACCTGATTTGGCACTAACGTCATTTGCACGACGAATGGATGGGTTTGAGTGGGTTTTGCTAACATTTTTCTAGAGTCGAAAGATAGGGATCCCATTTCGGATACATAGATGTATCATCAGAGAAAAATTATTCATTATTTTTCAAATTACATTTTGTGAAGTTTCTTTTTTGACTCAGTATATATGTAAATACCGATGTATTAACATACTGATCATACCATGTATTTTGATATATTCAGTTTAGTAATATAAAGTATCAAATTTATTGTTTTGAGCTGTATATGTGTGTGCATTTTTGTATATAGATCATTTGATTCACCATGTTTATTATAATCATAAACATTTCTGAATGATGTTGGTATATATGCTGACTATTTCATGTTGTTTTGTAGAGGCTAAATATCAGAATGACAAACCCTGTCATTAACATCATCCATATGATCTAAACGCTTTATCTTGTAATTTCACAAGGTGATCGAGAAATATATCCGCTAAACCTACCCTGAAACGATGGAAGACACGGGACATACTCGGCGATAATTTCGTCATCAAATTTGCTAAAATAAAGATGCTAACTATATTCAATCAATGTGGTCGTTCAGATCCATGTTTTATGTGTACGATTTCGTGGCAATACCTATCTGACACGAAATATCAAAGCACATGTCGGTGATGAATATAGGGTGTGTGTAATTGTTTACATATAGCCAATGCAACGACGATTTTCGTGTTTCGAAACTGCTTAAATAACGTGTTTGTACACTGAAAGTAACGATGGGTGTTTTTCTGGTGACGTATACTTTGCCACAGTATCGATGAAAATGCTATGAAAAAATTCTAACCACACGTTCTCGGATTTTTCTATAGTAAATGTATGGCGCGTCTCCCTGCAGTGAAGGCTGCCATTCGGCAGTGGTTGCCTGGGTCAGTGTCGGAGCGTTAGCGCAGCCGCAACAGGCCCAGGGAACCAGGCTGTGAGTGAGTGAGTGAGTATGGTTTTACGCTGCTTATAGAAATATTCCAGCAATATCACGGCAGGGGGACACCCACCCTTGAGTCAGATCAAACTCTGTCCCTAGAGATATCAGTACCATTTCATCACAATGCTTTGGAGGTTATTGACAGTATCAGTTTCCAGGACATCACAATGCTTTGGAGGCTATTGACAGTATCACTTTCCAGGACATCGCAATGCTTTGGAGGCTATTGACAGTATCAGTTTCCAGGACATCACAATAAAAATGGAGGCCATTAACAGTATCAGTTTCCAGGACATCACAATAAAAATGACATCACTAATAGTTCAGCGACAGAAGCTAGTTAGCTGTTCTTTTCACACCCATGGCATAAGCTGGTTAGCTGTTCTTTTCACACCGATCATGGCATAAGCAAGTTAGCTGTTCTTTTCACACCCATGGCATAAGCTAGTTAGCTGTTCTTTTCACACCGATCATGGCATAAGCAAGTTAGCTGTTCTTTTCACACCGATCATGGCATAAGCAAGTTAGCTGTTCTTTTCACACCCATGGCATAAGCTAGTTAGCTGTTCTTTTCACACCGATCATGGCATAAGCTAGTTAGCTGTTCTTTTCACACCCATGGCATAAGCAAGTTAGCTGTTCTTTTCACACCGATCATGGCATAAGCTGGTTAGCTGTTCTTTTCACACCGATCATGGCATAAGCAAGTTAGCTGTTCTTTTCACACCGATCATGGCATAAGCAAGTTAGCTGTTCTTTTCACACCCATGGCATAAGCTAGTTAGCTGTTCTTTTCACACCGATCATGGCATAAGCTAGTTAGCTGTTCTTTCCACACTCCTGGCATAAGTTTTTGCTGTTCACAAAAAATCGATGGCGATCGATTTTCTATTTAGTACTTGTTCCATGTTAGAAACATACCAAAGCATTACAGTTACTCCCTCGTGTTATACAATTTTAAATCGTAATATACTTCAAAAGTTTAGACTCACTTAAAACACTCACTATATGTTATGTATATATATATCTGATATTTTATTATACTGAAGGTTGATTTCTCCACTAACTTGGGGGAACCAACTGCAAACTTTATGCAGATGAATTACACGAGGATCATGCATCAAACTGCTGAAAAGCATGTGCAAATATCGTACATATGAACAGCTGCATCGTGGTGTAAAGTTTTGTTAAGAATTCACAATTTTCAAAGATTTTCATCATTTACTGAACTCATGACAATAATCTTTTCAATGTTACGAATTTGTTATACAATACATCAGTTCATGTGTAAACAGTACTCCTAAACAGTATGGAATATTTTTGCAAAATTTAGTTTCGAAATAGTTGCCTGAAGCAATGGATTTATTTACACTAGTAAGTCTTAACTTTTGATGAGAAGTATATATGATATTTACCAAACAGAAATAAACTTGACTCATAGTATCTATTCAACATCAGCACAGTTACCTCCTACTGCCCCAAAACTCGCAGGAAATCCTGTCTTCACATCTCACATAAGTAAGGCATTGTCTCCCTTCCTGATCACCAGGATCAGTTTACCTGCCCATCATACTACTATAGATATATATGTAAGGAATGGGGACATATCTTGATCTTGAACTCTGATGACTGATTGAAACAAAGAAAGAAAGAAACACTGCCCGCAAGTCCCTATGTGAATGTACACTTCAACCTGTGTGATGATAACCTCGAATAAAGGAGAACGTCGAAAATGGCAGCGTGAGTTATTATTGATGATCGTGATAGGGAAACGTTTCTCAAATCAAATACGACATATGCAAAAATGAAGAAATCACCGTATCTCAGTATCGGTATGATCAAGTGATGCTCCGCCCTGCGTCTGTTGCTGCAGCTAGTCAGTACACCAGAATGAGACACCGTGACAATGTTCGGCGTGCATGATCAACAACCTCAGACTCATGCTAGACTGGGTGACTCAATTTGACATGTGTGCAATGTTGTCTAGAATATGTTTTCATTCACAGATAGTTAAAATGTCCACCCCCGCACGCTAAACCTATGAATTATTATTTCGCGGAACGGCCCTGTCGGTTTTTGCGGTTTGTGTTCGTCTTGACTAGACACTGGATGTTTTAGGATGTGTAAATTATTGCTGCACAGGGCTGCTAGTTCTACTCACAGTCGAATGCATATTCCGAGAACTCGCTGTCATCTATGGCTATGACCACGTTTCTCCCTTCTTCTGTCGCCATGTCAGCAGCTTGAAGGTACCGAGGCCCTGAATTGTCTCTAAATGTAGCCAACACTATCACCAATAGTGCGCGAACACCGACAATAGCTCTGACATTCAGATCGGGGGGAGAGCTCTAACCTTTGACCCTGCAACCGGGGTGAAGGTCGATTGCGACCCACTTGCATGGCGACTTCCTCAGTGGTGTTGCATGAATGGCTGTCAATCGCTCACCAAATGTGAAACTGTATTTCGGCAACACATGTTTGCGTTACAAGATAGCATCTTTTTCGCGTATAGAATAAATGCAGTTTGTTGATGATGACAGACTGAAAAATAAGCTCTTGGTATTAAAACAGTTTTTTATTACGCAGTTTTTTGTCACAAAAATCTGCAACATTGCGCGCTTTCATAATTTGTGTTTGTCAAGGTGAAATTAATGTTGTAAGTATTGTGTTCTCATTACTTGCTGAAACCATCCAAACTTTATAGGATTCTATTTCATTTTAATTAAGATGTTAGTAAAGTTTCACAACCAGAATAAGGAGGTTTGCTAAGTCCCCGGAGACACCTGCTGTGCTACACCCGGGTTCGAATCCCAATTTGGGTATAAAAAAGGTAGTGAGTGAAGTATACAATGCTTGTCCCTTGATGTCGTATTGTTGAAAACTGTTCAGATCCGAAATGACTTACTCACCCCATCACCCACCTTCGTGCTAAATGGGACTTTATTAATAAATTAATGTTTACTGACATTAAATAGTAATATGTGATATTTGATGTGCGTATATGTGTGTGTGCGTTCGTGTGTGTGTGCGTGCGTTCGTGTGTGTGTGTGTGTGTGTGTGTGCAAAGGCCACCTAGGAAGATAAATTCACATCCACACCCATCCCCCCATAATTGGATCACCCACCCTACAGGAGAAGATTGCGTGAGCCGTGCCAGGTCCCAACCAAATTTGTTTCCAGTCGTCAAAAAGCACCTTTGCTCGTCTTCAAACTGTCACCTTTAATATCAGCGAGCGTATTACCAAACATAGACTAACAACTAGTCTCTGAAATGAACATATTTTACTGAAAAAGTTCATAGTAAAAAAAAAGATAAAATATAATGAAAAGGAGCCCTGAGACCTTCTTCATTAATCTAGACTTGCCACATTTTCTAGACTTGCGTGGGCTTTCTTGGATATATTTGCTTCAGGGTCTGTATGAGAGACTATACCAAACACTTAGCAACTAAATGCTAACGGGGAGAAATGGCGTGGGCGGAAAAGTTAACTGCACACTACTCTGAAACAGCTATAGGAACACGTACAGACCCCAACGTTTAGTCACCGAAGATATATTCTGTGAGAAACAGGGCTCCATTTACTGGAAGGAGCCAAGTAAGATGAGAGATTCAGAGACTAACTACCCAGGGGCTACACGTGCTGGGGTCCTGATCAATTACATATGTTACAACCGTCAGATAAAGGTTTAAACGACAGGGAGATGTATTGGCCCTCTTGCCAAGCTCTGTCCTCTCACCTGGGTGTCTAACCAGAGTAGTCCTGCCCTTAACTCCTAGCCCTTCCATTCATATTTTGAAATCTTTGTGATTTGGAACTTTGCTTGACAAACAGCAGTTTTATCTGGAATACCAAATACATGAATAAATTATCCAGGAGTTTGAATTTGCCTCCAAATGTTAAAGTACGTACTTTTATGATATGTAAATTCCATCATAAACAGTAAATGCCGCGTAGCTCAGTAACATCTCTAGCAAATACATGTATGTGACTCTTTGAAAACTTGTAGCGGGCCAGTGAAAGCAACACTCCGTGTGTTACGCAATTAAACCATGATCATAATTATAGTCACTCTGGGGTTCAGGCCACGTGTGTTATAAAGGAGGATAACTAGTTATACGAATGTGACTATTTCCTAAATAGAATTCCCAGGGAGCCTTAATTTTTCCATGCAGTCACTTCAAACAGACTTGCCTATTGAAGATCACAGACTATGTATGTCTATTCCACTTACTTGTTGCAGGACTAAACCCTCGGCACACACCCATCCTGCCACACACTGTGTTTGTTAATTAAGCGTTGGCAGATGCTAAAGTTACTACAGTTCTGTTCAGTCCCTGAACCATATTATTTTCCCTACAGCCTAGCCCTCCCTGCAACGGTAAAGTCCTGAATGAAGCAAGTCTAGATTTCCCCTACAGCCCAGCCCTCCCTGCAACGGTAAAGTCCTAAATGAAGCAAGTCTAGATTTCTCCTACAGCCCAGCCCTCCCTGCAACGGTAAAGTCCTGAATGAAGCTAGTCTAGATTTCCCCTACAGCCCAGCCCTCCCTGCAACGGTAAAGTCCTAAATGAAGCAAGTCTAGATTTCCCCTACAGCCCAGCCCTCCCTGCAACGGTAAAGTCCTAAATGAAGCAAGTCTAGATTTCCCCTACAGCCCAGCCCTCCCCGCAACGGTAAAGTTTCTAAATGAAGCAAGTCTAGATTTCCCCTACAGCCCAGCCCTCCCTGCAACGGTAAAGTCCTAAATGAAGCAAGTCTAGATTTCCCCTACAGCCCAGCCCTCCCCGCGACGGTAAAGTCCTAAATGAAGCAAGTCTAGATTTCCCCTACAGCCCAGCCCTCCCCGCAACGGTAAAGACCTGAATGAAGCTAGTCTAGATTTCCCCTACAGCCCAGCCCTCCCCGCAACGGTAAAGTCCTAAATGAAGCAAGTCTAGATTTCCCCTACAGCCCAGCCCTCCCCGCGACGGTAAAGTCCTAAATGAAGCAAGTCTAGATTTCCCCTACAGCCTAGCCCTCCCCGCGACGGTAAAGTCCTGAATGAAGCTAGTCTAGATTTCCCCTACAGCCCAGCCCTCCCCGCAACGGTAAAGACCTGAATGAAGCAAGTCTAGATTTCCCCTACAGCCTAGCCCTCCCTGCAACGGTAAAGTCCTAAATGAAGCAAGTCTAGATTTTCCCTACAGCCCAGCCCTCCCTGCAACGGTAAAGTCCTAAATGAAGCAAGTCTAGATTTCATCAGGTTCTGGATTTCCCATCACAGAGGGTTTCTTTTCAATTAAAATGGGTTTATTTGTCAAAATGATTTATATTCGTTTAATCGTATTCGTGTAACGAGATTAATCGTTAGTCTTTGTATACAGTTCTGTCCCCTAGGGAGTTTGATATGTCTCCTCTGTAACCTGACCCTGAAGTGAGAGGGACTGTGACAACAGCAGCCATGCCAGGTACTTACTTATAGTGTAGGTTTACACAACCATTGAGGGACTGTGACACTAACAGCAGCCATGCCAGGTACTTACTTATAGTGTAGGTTTACACAACCATTGAGGGACTGTGAGACTAACAGGAACCCCGCCCGGTACATACTTATAGTGTAGGTTTACACAACCATTGAGGGACTGTGAGACTAACAGCAACCCTGCCAGGTACTTACTTATAGTGTAGGTTTACACAACCATTGAGGGACTGTGAGACTAACAGCAGCCATGCCAGGTACATACTTATAGTGTAGGTTTACACAACATGGTGGAGCTCTGCACGTAGCTGTCTTCTACTGCGGAGACAGTGCCAGTAACCATGACGACATGTACCATTAAAAACACGTGCCAAACAGCACGCGTTGCTAGGTGATATAGTCAAGAATACCACCACTTATATTGGTACTCACGCAAAGGTCAAGAGGTCAACATGTCAAGGGCTGCCACTTCTACGTTTGTACTGTTCACATCGATATTTTCATCGTGCCCTCTGCTGAGAGTTTTCATCGTGCCCTCTGCTGAGAGTTTTCATCGTGCCCTCTGCTGAGAGTTTTCATCGTGCCCTCTGCTGAGAGTTTTCATCGTGCCCTCTGCTGAGAGTTTTCATCGTGCCCTCTGCTGAGAGTTTTCATCGTGCCCTCTGCTGAGAGTTTTCATCGTGCCCTCTGCTGAGAGTTTTCATCGTGCCCTCTGCTGAGAGTTTTCATCGTGCCCTCTGCTGAGAGTTTTCGGTGCGATACTTTTACATCCACAACATAAATAAAGATAAAGGACACATTGTCTCACACGGTAAATACTTCGTGGTGCAACCACGTCATCACCATCATCGGGTTGTCGAAAATGAGCAAGTTGAATAATCGTATCATCTCTACAGCAATAATATCTGAACGTTTTATATGTACAACAATAATATCTGAACGTTTTATCTGCAACAATAATATCTGAACGTTTTATCTGTACAACAATAATATCTGAACGTTTTATATGTGTAACAATAATATCTGAACGTTTTATCTTAGCAGCAATAATATCTGAACGTTTAATCTGTGTAACAATGATATCTGAACGGTACATCTTAGCAACAATAATATCTGAACGTTTTATCTTAGCAACAATAATATCTGAACGTTTCATCTGTGCAACAATAATATCTGAGCAACAATAATATCTGAACGTTTTATCTGTGCAACAATAATATCTGAACGTTTTATCTGCGCAACAATAATATCTGAACGTTTTATCTGTGCAACAATAATATCTGAACGTTTTATCTTAGCAGCAATAATATCTGAACGTTTAATCTGTGTAACAATGATATCTGAACGGTACATCTTAGCAACAATAATATCTGAACGTTTTATCTTAGCAACAATAATATCTGAACGTTTCATCTGTGCAACAATAATATCTGAGCAACAATAATATCTGAACGTTTTATCTGTGCAACAATAATATCTGAACGTTTTATCTGCGCAACAATAATATCTGAACGTTTTTTCTCTACAACAATAATATCTGAACTTTTGTCTGTGCAACAATAATATCTGAACGTTTTATATGTACAACAATAATATCTGAACGTTTTATATGTGTAACAATAATATCTGAACGTTTTATCTTAGCAGCAATAATATCTGAACGTTTAATCTGTGTAACAATGATATCTGAACGGTACATCTTAGCAACAATAATATCTGAACGTTTTATCTTAGCAACAATAATATCTGAACGTTTCATCTGTGCAACAATAATATCTGAGCAACAATAATATCTGAACGTTTTATCTGTGCAACAATAATATCTGAACGTTTTATCTGCGCAACAATAATATCTGAACGTTTTATCTGTGCAACAATAATATC